TATTGTGGAGAGGCGAGGAGCGTAGAAAGGGGTATATGCCCCCTCAGTCCTTTCCTGCCTGCGTATCCCCAAGAAAGTCCTTCCAGGTCTCTGGGCCTCAGTTTTCTAATCTGTGAAATGGGGCACAGTGTGGTGAAGTGATGGGCATCATGCTCGGTCCTCAGCGAGCACTTGGCAGTGATGGTTTATTGGAAGGCAGGGCAGGAGGGGCTCTCAGAAGAGGCCTGCCCATCGCAGCCCGTCCCTTACCCCTGCCACACCCTGTGATGCCCCTTCTTGCCTAGTTCCACGTGGATAAGAAGGGCCGGGTGAACTTCGCACAGACAGAGCTGCTCATCCATGTGGTGAACCGAGAAACCAACCGCATCCTGGACGTGGACCGGTGGGTGGGGGATCTGTGCTCTGTCCGTCTGCCTGTTGCCCTGAGATTGGGGAGGGGACCCACCAACAGAAGCATAGACAACACCGTCAGGCCTGCTGTGTGGTACTCTCCCCAGCAGGTGGGCAGAGCCGTTAGAAAGAGCACTGTGGGTGTGAGCAGAGCTCTGCCCCTCTGAGCCTTACTCTCCCCATCTGTAAAATGGGAGCATTATGCTGATTGTGAGGCTCAAACAGGATCCCTTATGAAGGGATGGTGAATCCGATAGGAAACAAAGCTATCCTAGCTGGGTGGGCTTTAATCGTGCAAGGTTTGGTGCGGGGAGGGGGGTGAACTTTCGGGGTCCAAAGCAGGAACTAAGCGGACTGGCCTGACTGAGGCAAACTCTTGGGGGACGGCTGAGGGTGGGAGCTGAGGCCCCTGCCCCTCGCCCAGGGTGATCCAGATGATCGACGAGAACAAGGAACAGCTGCGGAATCTTTTCCGGAACTACAATGTCCTGGACGTGCAGCCTGCCATCTCTGTCCGGCTGCCTGACGACATGTCCGCCCTGCAGGTACCCTTGGGTGGCACCTGCCCCACAGCCCCCTGCCACCCCGGGGACTCTCACCCGCTCACGCCCGGTCCTGTTTTCCTAGATGGCGATCATTGTCCTGGCCATTCTCCTCTTCCTGGCCGCCATGCTCTTCATCCTCATGAACTGGTACTACAGGACTGTGTGAGTGACCCCTGCGCCCTGTGCCTGTGCCCTGAGACTGGCTGACTAGCCCTACTCCTGGGTTAGACAGAGAGGCAGGCAGCGCCCAGAGAGGCCAGCCCCGCCCCAGCCTCCCTTACCAGCGCCTCTCTCCGCTTCTCTCCAGACACAAGAGGAAACTCAAAGCCATTGTGGCTGGCTCCGCAGGTGAGCAGGGGCTGTGATGGCTGGGGAGGTCAGAGGGCAGGAGGGGCTCCTGGGGAACTCACAAGGCCCTGGACCGGGCCCAGGCTCCCACCCCTCTATGCCCCCAACCGCTCCCTGCAGGGAATCGTGGCTTCATCGACATCATGGACATGCCCAACACCAACAAGTATTCCTTTGACGGGTGAGTGGGGTCCCCGAGCCCTGCCTGGTGTGCTTTGGGCAGGCCTGCCAAGGACCCAGCTGAGGCGGAGACTTCCCTGCTGCCTCCCAAGCAGGGAGGGAAAACGGGCTGGCTGAAACCTGGGGTGTGGGCGCCCCCTGGCGGGCTGGCCTCCCCGCTCTGTCCACCCTCAGAAACTGTCACTGAGCTGGGCGCCCCACCGCTGATAGGTCCCAAGTTGAAGGAGGCGGTGGGAGTTGACTTTGGTCAGCGAGGAGAGAGTGAGGCTTCCAAACTGAAGCTCATCCGGATTGACGTGTTGTCCTGTCCTGGTTCTAGTGGGAGCCTAAGGGGAGGACACACCCACAGGTGCCACAGGGCAAGGGGCCTACCTTTGGCCCCTCACCTCCTGTTCTGTGAAAAGCACTAGTTAGTTGGCCAGGGAAACAGGAAGGGGTATGGGGTGAGGCTGGCAGAGCATCTGTCTCCTCAAGCCTTCCATCCTCACCCCACCTGCAGGGCCAACCCAGTATGGCTGGATCCTTTCTGCCGAAACCTGGAACTGGCCGCCCAGGCTGAGCACGAGGACGACCTGCCAGAGAACCTTAGTGAGATCGCAGACCTGTGGAACAGCCCCACCCGCACCCACGTGAGCCAGGCCAGAGCCAGGGGCAGGGGTGGAGGATCATAAGGGACAGGGTGGGGGTAGGGTAGGTCTTCGCCAGCACTGCCCAAGGAGCTGTGCTTTCTAGGAAGTGCCCCCCACCCTGCATGTGTGTGAGCGTGCACGCACACGTGCTACCTCCGGTCCAGCTAACATCCCCCGTCCCCAGGGCACCTTTGGGCGTGAACCAGCAGCAGTGAAACCCGACGATGATCGGTACTTGCGGGCAGCCATCCAGGAGTACGACAACATCGCCAAGCTGGGCCAGATCATCCGGGAGGGGCCCATCAAGGTGAGCCCTCCCGACAGGCTCCTGCACTCCTGCCCACCCCCCCAGGCCTGCACCCAGACCCCTGGCTAAGCTTGGACCTGCTCCAGAGGATACAGGGAAGGGAAACAGCTTTTTCCATCTCCAGGTTCAGCTAGACCTGCCCTCCACTGGGGCAAGACCACCAGAGCAAAAAGAGGGGCCTGGGCACTGGGGCTGACCAGGAGCCGCTCCAGCCTGTGGTGCCCTTAGGACCAGGGTGCCATCGAGACCTGTCACCAGGCTCTGCTCCCGACCCTCTACACTAGGATTTGAGGCCTGTGCCTCCTAGATTCCGTCACCTTCCATGGCCCCCATCTGTGTTAATGGGCGTGAACAAGGGGTGGGGATGGCCAGGGAGGGCCGTGGTGGGGGGTTAACCCTCTCCCTCCCCCAGGGCTCGCTGTTGAAGGTGGTCCTGGAGGATTACCTGCGGCTCAAAAAGCTCTTTGCACAGCGGATGGTGCAAAAAGCCGCCTCCTGCCACTCCTCCATCTCCGAGGTAGCCGGGAGGGCAGGGGAGCTGTGTGCCGTGCCCCAGCCCTGGGGGTGCTCTCTCTCTCTCTAGCTCTCCTGCTACCTTCATCCTTCTCAGAGTCCCTGGAGCTCAGCAGCCAGGACCAGAGAGCGCAATGGGTGGGGGTATAGGAGGACAGACAGTGGGCTCTCTTTTCTGGGTTCTGCAGTGGCCTTTCTAGGGATGGGGTGGGCTCAAGGAAATGTTTCTCAGATTTGAGGAACCCCATGACCCTCCTGCCATATAACCCTTATAGGGTTATATCATTTGAAGGAACTGGCTCAAATAGGGTCAAAAAGATGTCCTATGTTGTTTGCCTAAAGTGAGGTCACCACTATCTAAAACCCAGATTACCAGCTGGGCCAACATCCCCAAGTGAAATGGACTAAAAGCTGAGTTCCACACAGAACCAAAGCGCCAGCTGTGGGCCTCCACTAGACCCTATTATTCCCTCCAACTTCACCTGTAGATACTTTCAACCTGGCCAATACTGTTGACCTTGCTTGGGACCGACTTGTAACCAACCCAACTTGATAACAAATCCTGTGATACTACAGTTGCATCACAGGATTTTTATGGATTAAATACACAAAATTCAAGACTCATAGGAAGCCTATATATTTCCAAGGATACATCCACAGCACCGTGTTTCCACTTTTCCCCTTTGTACCATTTGAGAAAACAGGCTGGGTAGGCCCACCACATGAGCCCAGGGTTCCTTGTGTGCAGTAGGGAGAAAGTAGACACATAGCAGGTAGGACTCGGGCCGGCCACCTGCTCACTGCTTGCGCATAGCTCTGAGCATGTGTGGGTCCTGGACTCTTGCAGTTGATCCAGACGGAGCTAGAGGAGGAGCCAGGGGAGCGCAGCCCGGGCCAGGGCAGCCTGCGCTTCTCCCATAAGCCGCCACCTGAGCTCAAAGGACCCGATGGAATCCACATGGTGCACGGCAGCACGGGTACACTCCTGGCCACTGACCTCAACAGCCTGCCCGAGGATGACCAGAAGGGTCTGGGCCGCTCACTGGAGACACTGACAGCTGCTGAGGCCAGTGCCTTTGAGCGCAACGCCCGCACGGAGTCCGCCAAATCCACACCCCTGCACAAACTTCGCGACGTGATCATGGAGAGCCCCCTGGAGATCACGGAGCTATGACTAGACGGGAGAGCCCCGCTGCTGTGTGCAGCACCAGGACCACAGGGCGCAGGCCCCCTCCAGGCCAACCCTGGCTCACGACCTCAGGTTGGTCCAGTGGCAGCGGCCCGCATCAGCCGCTCCGGTTCCACTTCTGCCAGGCGTTCATTCAGTATCTGATCTCTACGTTCATAAAATTTGTTATTTTTTTAAGAAAACTAAACAAAAATGTTAAGCGTCTACAGATGAGGTAAGAAGTGTCACTGGGGGGACCAGGAGTCTAAGGACCAATTCAGCCCAGGCTGAACCGAAAGGCCAAGGAGGCCCTCCTGCCCTCCCCACCCCAACCGGTTCCCATCCCTGTCGGGCCTCGACTCCGGTTGTCTCGCTGCATTTCTGCCACACTCTGGGCTGGACATCCAGGTGGAGGTAGCGTGTGATCCCTGCCTCCCCACATGGACAAGGTTACTATCCATGAACCACGTTCTCTCCATTATACTGGCTCCCCAAATGTGCTCATAAAGAAAAATGACTGATATTCCCTTGGGTTTTGAATGTAGCGTGTTCCTCTGTATTCCTTTTTAAATTAAGTTATTCCCTCAGTATTTTCCCCTTGGTTTGCTTCACTGGTACACAATGAACATTTCTGGAATGGTCTGAATTTTAAAAAGAAAAGCAACTCATGAGGAACTGGCAATCGCTCTGGTAAACTACCTGCTGGCTGGCCTTGGAGGGGTGGGAGAGAGTGGGGGTGAAGGGCACAGCGGCTGGGCCCAAACCAGCCCTGGGTGTCTCCTGGAGGACCAGGTGGGACTTTCTTCACTCTCTCTGCTTGCTCTCTCTGGCCAGACTGTGGAGCACTTACAGGCCCACAGCCTTGGAGAGCTAATCAGAAACCAAACCTCCAGCTGAGGTATCAGAGAAACGCTCAGATCTGATCGACAGACTTTATTGTTAAATCACAGACACAAGTGCAAAACAAAAAACTGTTACGTCCATTTAATGGCAACTGCAGGTCTTGTTGTCTCCTGGCGAAGAGCAGTGCAGCAGAAGACTTAGCCGAACCAGAGAGAGGCCAAGGCCCCCACACAGCCACCCAGCAGGCCCTCTGCCTGGAAGCCAGAGGCTTGTCTTCCACATTTATGTCGAAGTCAGAGAGAATAGCCGTGAAATGTGTCAGAGGTGAGGGGCCGAGACGGCCCCGGGCGGCAGCGCAGAGGCACAGAGCAGGCCTCAGCCGGCGGGCAGGCAAAAGGCAGGCCTTGAGGTGGTCACCGCCCACATGGTCGCACACAAAAGCCCAGCCCACAGGACCTCCATGGTGAGCCAAGCAGGTTGCATTCAGGCAGGTTATTTTTTCCCCCTCCCACCCAAACCCACAGAACCCTAAACAGGGTATCACCAGGAACGACACAGGAAAGCCAGATCAGAGGTTTATCCAGGGAGAGGGAACCCACACCCCACCCAGGTCTCCTGAGCAGCCACTTCCAAAGTCTATCAGTGCAAACTACACGGTGTAAAAAGCCTCATTGTTTTGAGCCTCTAATCATTTATATAAAGCTGCCTTCGTTTTGCTTTCTTAGCTAGCAGCCAAGAGGCCCAGGAAGGGGGAAGGCATCCCTCCTTAGGTTATGGTCCTACCAGCATTCAGAGCCCCCTTCCTCCCCCGGTACCCACCACGCAAGGGCCAGAAAGCCCGCTAGGACGCCGTGTGTCGTCATCCATGTAGCAGAAAGAAAAGGAACACTAAAGCAGCTACGTCAGCACAGGCTAGGCACCTCCTGCGCTGACCACAATGCCACGATAAGGGAGATAAGAAACAGAGTGGGGGAGGGGGGCCGATTTTACAACAAAGTCGATAGAACTGTGTTCATTCCTCCAGACATGTAAGTATGAAAAGATGCTGTAGTTTCTCCAAGATGGAACATTCTTTCTAGTTCCACACATGACGTCTGCAATGCTCAACAGCCTGACAAGAGAGAAAAACGGATTAATCTTCAGAACCAAACTCCATTCCTGGCCCATTCATGCATCAGATATCGCCCCAAAATGGAACCTGTTAATCTGGTTCTAGGTTAGCTGGACTGCACCAGGCACTGAAGACCCAGGACAGCATCTCATGTGGTCATCAGTTTTGGGGACTCAAAAGACAGGTGTCCAGCGAACAGGTGCAAAGCACTTCAGTGTTTTGCAGATAAGCACCCATGCAGGAAGTCACACGCTAAGTCCCAGCATCGGCTGATGGGCCACACTGGAGGCCCCGAGGGCAAAGCTCCTCACCCCACTCAGTCAGAGGTACACACCAGCCCAGGCCTTGAGAAAGGGACCCACAGGCACATTCACCCAGGACAGCAGCAGAAACCTATTCCACCAATGACACGCTATGGGTTGGGGCCTGGCCGCAGGGAGGAGCTGGACACAGCCAGGATGGGCCTCGCCACCCCTCCCTGCCGTGGACTGAAATGATGCAACCTCCCCCAAAACCAGCAGTCAGCCTCCCACCCCAAGGAAGGAAAAGTTGTGCAAAAGAACATTAGGCAACAAAGGCAGGCCCAAACATCCTCCCCTCCCCCTAGGAAGTAGTGTGGATCACCCAACTGGTGGCTGGCCACCCACCAGGACGGTGCCACAGCACCCTGGGGCTGTTGGGCAGGTGCAAACTTCTCAGGGCCTTTCAAGAACAGCTCGGCTTGGCCCTGAGTGAAGATTCAGGCCAGGCTCCAGCTGGGGCAAAGGTAACCCCGAGGGGCATGAGGACTTATGCAAGAACTGGGGCAATGAATCCAACAGGTCTGCTGCAATCCCTGGGGGCACCTCGTGCAAATCTGACCCTCTCAAAGGGAACCAGAGGCGAAAGCAAAAAAGCAGAAACAAAAAAATATCCACGCTTACACTTCACTCCTCAAAGACAGGAACATAGTTATTAGCCCGGCCTATGCTGGGCAGCCAGGGTGAGTAAGCCTAATTGCCTCTCTTGACCTCAGTTCTTTCACTAACATAAAGACATGGTAGACAGCCCGTCACCGAGGCTCCTGGGAATGCAGGATTCTCAGGCCAGCTGCTGACTGGCAAGGCAGGCCTGCGGAGCAGTTGCTGAGCTACTCACGTTGCATGAAGCTGCTGTCTCCATGTTCTGGCACCAGTAGCTTGGGCCCCAGACACACTTCTCTGTTCCCAAAAGAGGCTTATGGGCTGCAGGGCAGGCTCCAATTTTCTACACAGTGAAACAACGGCAAAACAGGAAAGAATGAGATCTGCCCAACTAGGCCTTTTCAAAACTGAGATTACCAGCTTCTAAAAGTAGCTAGAACCAGAACTCTGATGTGCATTTTCAAAAAGTATCAGGGTTGCTGAGTAAAGTGAAGGGCCCAGAAGCCTGGTTCTGTATCTTCTGGGCTCTCCCACACCCCATCCCCAGAGACTCTGCCCCATGGCCACAGCTCTCAGAGGACCCTTCCGGGGTCCACCAGCACCTCCCAGGTTACACTGTCCCAGAACCCGTGCCGCTCAGCAGAGCTCACCGAGCACACGTAGGACGGCTCCATCACCTCCACCAGGATTTCTAGCAGCACGGGCTCGTACTCGGTCACAAACTGATCACACTGTGAAGTAAACAGGGACATGAGTCCGGGTTTAGGTGTGCCCAAGAAGAGTGGGGGCATAAAAGGAGGGGAGCTGGACATGCTCTTCTGCAAGTCCCAACACTGCCAAGCCAGTGGCCCCAGGGCCTCCCTCCCCAGGTGCCCCACCCACACTCGATCTCATCTGCTTCTGTTCTTTTCCTCCAGTGGCTCCACTTGAGCCAACAAAGAGCCCCTGGGAAAATCTCACTGGACTCCATGTCTACAGGCAGAAATGGCTTCAAAACTTCAGGCAAGGGTACAATCTGTGAACAATTCAGCTTTTGCATTCCCCAGGTAGGTTCTGACTGTGGCAGGAAACAGCCCAGGGCATACCTGATTCTTATAGGGGTCAGGCAGAAAGCTGCAGCCTTTCTCAAGAGCAGCCAGGATCTCCTGCTTTGTGCTGTTTTTCTCCAGGTTTTTGTCCAAGTAGCCAACCAGCTTCTTACACACCTCACAGAAGCCACCGTCCTTCTGCTGAGTCACACGTACTATGCAAGAGAGTACAATCTCAGTGCTGGCAGGGCACCCCCCAAACCCCGGAGGGGCCGGCCAGCCTCTCCCCGCCAGGCTCACCGGTCAGCGCCGGCAGTCTCTGGGAGGTGCAGAGGTGGAGCAGGCTGCACACCAGCTCAGGGCTCGCCTCCTGCAGGAGGATCGACAGGATGGACCTGCCGTAAGTGTCCACCACCTCTTGGCACTCTTCAGAAATGGATTTGGGCAATTTTGAGCATATTTCATCAAAAGTGTGAATTATTTCTTCCTGAAACACAAGAGGATCATATGGGAAGATGGAAGGCTGGGTAGGGGTGGGAGAGATTCTGAAAAAACTACCATGGCCAGAAAACCAGTCAACAGCAAGATGCTGTTTCCTCCTGTAAAAGATGAGAGCTACAAAGCAGAGCAAAGTGGCCTCCTCCTGCCCCAGCCAGGAGGGACCCCCTGATGGGAAGTGGTCACACAGATTCCTAGGCTGGGTCCAACACCAGCAAGGGCCAAGCCAACCTCTTTTGCCGGGTTCTCCTGCGGGGCCACTGTGGCTCAAGGGAGAGCCGAGCTCCTCCCTCTGCCAGGAAGGCGGCATTCCAGAAACCCCACGTACCTCAGTCTTATTGCTGTCAATCAGCTTGACCACCTCCTTCACGACGTACTCACACAGCTCACAGGTAACATCAGTCTTCGTCTGGACCAAGTCCTTCTGTTGAGAGGATGAAAGAGGTTATCTGAATACTGAGACCCTCCCCTCACCCTTTGCTCCTGCTCCTCTAAAGGAGAGGGGACACAGAAGCCAAGGACAAGTTAGCATCACAAAGAGCCACTTCCTACTGAACTCCGAATAATGTGTGGCTTCCTCCCAGTGTCTAAGTTCCAGTCCCTCTTGTTTTTTTTTTAATGAGATGGGAGACTCAGCACTTTTGCCAATCCTCTACCACCACTACCTCCCGCCACCCCACCCTCCCCAAGCCAGAAATTTATACTTCAATGAGAGCAGTGAAACTGTCCCCCTCCCCAAAGAACTGTCCATGTGATGCTGTGTTTGGTTACAATTATTCCATCGTTCAGCATGAGCATTCGTCCTGGGGAGTGGGTAGGGGAGCAGAACAAAGTAAGGATTCACTATTTAGAAGCCAGTTTTAAACACATTTCAGGTCTGCTGTTGGGTGTCAAGTCTCATTAACACCTGGAATTACTTTTCCAGAGCCTGCCTTTAATAAAGCCATACTGCTGAATAGGACTTTCTGTGACAATGGAAACATCCCCTACCTCTGCTGTCAAATAGAGCAGTCACTAGCCACATGTGTCTATTAAGCACTTGAAATGTCACTAGTGTATCCAAGGAACTGAATTTTTTTTAACTGTTTAATTTTATTTAAATTTAGGTAACCACATGTGACTAGAACACAAGCTATAACTCTCCATTTTCTCTGGCCATTAATCCTGTCAGTCAGGTGGGCGCAGGCCTAGGAGCATCCCAGCTGGGGACAAGGGGCAGGTGGCAGTGTTGCCCTGGCTCTGCCTGACACCGTAGCCGTTCCTGTGGTCCACATGCTGTGTGTACTAGAGAAGACAGTAGAGGGAGAAGACAGCTAACGGAGAATGACATGGGGAGTTCTGGTACCAGAAGTGCATGCACATGCCATGTGCTAAGACATCACGTGGCCTGGGCTCTTCAGAACTAAACTACAAGCCCCAAGAAGAGGATAATTTTGTTCACCATTGCAGGTGGGCTGTTCTAGGCTTCAATCTCTAAAACACTGCCTGACCCATAAGATGTGCTGAATATAAACTGATTATGGAATAAATGAGGCTCTTCACCAAGTGACACAAAACAAACACTCATGCGTGCCAACATCACACTCCAAGAGGCTTCTGTACAAGCCCTAGGGTGTTCTGGGAATACCAAGCCTGTACTATGGTTACAGGGTCAGGGAGGATGTGGCAGAGGCAACAGCACCTCAAAAAAGGTTAAGTTGGAGCTAGGCACTGAAAAATGATCTTGAATGGCGTGCTAAAGTGTAGACTTGGTCCCATGAGCTCTAGGGTTTATAACCAAGGAAATAAAAGAACTCAATATGCCTCTGGCCAGTAGAAAACAATGATACCAGGTACCTTAATGGGCTCCACCAGTTCCAAGGCAGGGATGACATTCTCTGAGACCACTTCAGCTGGGAGCAGAGGCTGCATGGGCATCTCCTTGACCTGGTCACAGAACCCGACCAGTCCACAGATCTCCTTGGGTTGCTGAAGAGAGCACAGAAAAAGCAGTGAGGTGCAGGCCTCCATCCACCACCACCCCCACCTCAGGCCCACTCTCTGCACACGCAAAGGTCAGGGTGCTAAGGGAGCGTTCCGGTCCCAGTGTCAAGGGCTGACTGCTCCCCCTACCCTGGACAAGTGAAGATTCCATATGAAACCTAGATGAGCTCATGCAAATGCAGGTGGGCCAGTTTCACATAAGGGAAGAGGCCACACAAAGCTCCGAGGGGAGTGAGATCAGACAGAACTGCTGTCTCTGCTCCAGCCAGGGAGCACCCCGGGGAAGCACCTTTAATGGGTGATCAATCTTCTCCAAGGATTATGGGCTGCTCTAGAACCTGTTTTTCAGTTGAGCTCAGTAGGAAGCAAGCTCTATGTTCTTTCTATAGGGCTATGCTCATAAACTAACAGAAAGTCAAATGTGTTGAAAATAAAACCACACCAGATCATTTGATGGCAGGACCATTTTAAATGATGCATTAAGGGGAGACGTTCGCTTTTTAAAAAACCATATTCTATGTTCACAATTTCACACAGGATACATGAAAATCCAGTCCCCCAAAATTAATGAATTCTTTCAAGTCACCACATTTATCCCCTTTCCCAACCAGACACCAAACCACAGAGAACTAGACAGTTTGGACATCTTGACCATTTCACTACATGATGGCCAAGAGTGAGAGAAGTATACATACTTTGTATACTTTGCAAACCACATGCAACCAGCAACTACCCCTGGGCCCGATGGCATTTGACTCCCACCACCAAACCGTAAAGCAGCGGAATGGGACTGCTGAAAATGAGGCCTGGTAAGGGGAGAGAGCTAGGCCGTGGCCATGGGCCATCTTGTTTTAATACTGAGAAGGCCCTACAATTCATTAAGGCTGGAGGAGTTTGAAAGTTGTTATCTGAGGTATCCTGTCTCTGGCATACTTTAAGGATAGGGGCCAAAGATACAGCACGCTTTTTAGAAAAAAGACAAAAATTCGGGAGGTGTGTGTCTGCTTTGTCTCAGATCAGCTTTGTTCCACTAACTCCATGAGGGGGCCCAAGTGAAAATTCAGATATTTCAGCCAAAGTCCTCTCCCACTAGACTTCAAAAAACCTTGGAAAAATCTTTGGTTCCAGGGCTCAGGAGGAGGCCGTGCTCAGGACAGCCCCGAATGGGCGGCTGGCTCAGTGAGGCTGGGCTGAGGGCTCAGGGCCCCACTTCGCGCCACGGGCAGCGGAGCACACAGGCAGCCTGACGTGGCCCTGGACCCACGGGACCCATCCCCCAGGGGGGCAGCAGCCGCCATGAAGAGACTGTTTCCAACACTCAATCCAACCGACTGGGGAAGTCTGCTCACTATCTGCAACTGATTTGCTCATGCAAGAGAAGCATTTGTGAGGTTACGGAAAACGGGACTGAAGACATGCAGGGCTCTCAAGTCATGACAGAAACAAGGTCCCACAGGAAGTCAGGCTTATAGTGAAGGAAGCTGAGGCATCTCCGGGACCACCCACAGTTCCCCATCATCACACTGGCGGCCTGCATTTGGCCCACTGGGCACTGATTTTGTTCAGAGTACAAGGCTCTGGATAAGGTGCCCTGAAGGCGAGACGAAAGCCCCAACACCTCACGTGCTGAATCACAGGGAAGAGACCAGAAGCTCCCCTGCCGGTCCATAAGCACAGAGAGGGACCCTGCCCTTCACAATCTTGCCTTGTGTCTGTCAGAGGGGATCATGCCGTACAAAAAAAGATGAGCAAAGGAGCTACAAGCAGCAGCAGACCACTACTAGAAGCAAATCCCCATCACATACCTGATCCTGCTGTTGAACAAAAAAACAGGAAATCGGAGATAAAAATAAGAGAAAGGAAAGGACACAACAGTTAAGAAAAAATTAAAATAACAACAATCAAGCTGTCAACCAGGTGTAAGGGTATCCAAAGTTCAGGGGAAATGCAGTCACAAATCAGCCACCTACCTTTTTCCTACTATTGGGTGCACACGGGGCCCTAAAAAACAACTCTGGCCCTCCTTACTGGGACAGATCCCACTTCTCCAGCTTGTGTGGACACTGTCCCCATGTCCCTGACACACGACATCATGTTCAAAATACCGGGAGGAAGGCAGGTCCCAAGAAAATGCCACATCATGAAGGGCTCCCCACCCGCAGGAGCCTATCCCCACCATGCCTGCAAAGCCCTCCCCTCAGGCTGGTGCCGAACCACAGAACAGAACAAGATACAGGGCTGCCCAAATTAAGGGTGTGTGTTGTAAAACACATCTGAGGAGGTTAAGGACCCCAAGCCACTCTCCACTGCCCCGTCTTCCTGCAATCTACCTCCAGGTGGCCAAAGGGCCAGCCTGGAAGGCTAGTCTGACACTTATCAAAAGCTTTGGCTTCTGATTCAGCAATTCCAGTTTTAATTACCTAAACTAAGGCAAGAAACAGATTTGGCTGTAAAAATATTCATCATGCTTTTTAACCTAGGGCAAAACTGAAAATAACCTAAAAACACTCAGCCATAGGGGATTAGTTACATAAATTAGGTTCTAGTCATACTGTGAAATATATGCAGCCACTTCAAAATCATTTATAGAAAACATTTAATGATCAATATAATTTTAGATAAAAAATGCAAGCTACAAAATTTGAAGTAGTATATAAAGTATGACCCCACTGTTGTTTCTTAAAACCCTGAACAATTTTTGATTCAGGAAGTGTTTATCCATATTTTCGATGAATTAATAATATGCAGTGTAATTTTTACAATGAGAAAAATATTTTTTTTAGTTAGCTATGAAAAAGCATTAACTAGATCAAATTACACCAAAGCTTATTTTTTCCTACTCTCACTGCATGTCTCGGTAAGCTGCCTCCCAACGAGGTGCGGTGAGAACAACAATCTCAAATGAACTCCGCTGAGACTGCATGGAGTCACTGAGGGTTAGAGCAGGGCCTGACAGTAAACCTTTCAGACTTTGCAGGCAGTAAGGACTCAACTACTAAAACTCTGCTGCTGTAGCAAAAAACGGGCATTGCTAAGTTCCAATACAAGCACAAAACAGCCCCTGGTTATTAGAGTATAAACTCAAGGACTGTAGGCGACCTCAACATAATCAGAAACATGACAGAAAGAAAAAAGTACAACCCACCCCCCGAACCCTGTAGATTAGGCCTCCAGGGGCCAAAGGACGTTCCCAATGGAATGATGCTTCAGACCACCCTGCTCTGTGCAACAGTTTTCTGCACGGCGCTGGCTAGCTGACGGTACTTTCTAGCTCTGATAATGAACGGATGGATGCCCCTGCCACCTGGGTCCATCAGAGGCAAGTGCGAGAGCTATGGACTCAAGCAGCAGCAACAGCTAACACTGCTGCAGAGCGCACGACCAACTCGAAGAAGCAGGATTCTCCCCTCCTCAGAATTCAGGCTGGAACAGAGCAATTCTCAGGCCTGGCCTAGCCACAGAGCATACTCCTCCCATGAGGCCCAGGTTGAAAGCCAAATGCGAGAAATCTGATGGCCAGTTCACAAACGCAGAGGCAAATGAACCACCAGGAAGGCTTCGGGGCCGTGGCGAGGGTCAGGTGAGGAAAGGTAAGGGGGAGGTGGAGAGTCAGCTGTCAAAAAGGGCTCATTTGGGCCCAACTTAATACTCAAAGGTAAGCAAGGGAAAGGAAGCCATATACTTTTCAAAATTCCTGGAAATCACAAAGTTTGAGATAAAGAAAAATGCTAATGAGGACATTCCCCTGTCACCTACCATATGCATCATCATCTGGACAGCAATATCTGAATACTGGTTGATATAGTTCTTGCACTGGGGACAAAGAAACAAATTTTTAGTGAAGTTAATTACTACAACACCCCCTAAAAAACCCCAGCATTCCCAACCCCAACAGTAGAGTCCTGTAAATGTCTGTTCTGGGTAAGTTTTATTAAGATAAAAATGGCAATTTGTTTCTAGTCTTGTTTCTTGTATTACTGGGAGAAAAGAAATCGTCACAAAAGTGGTCTCCTTCCACTTTTTTGTCCCAAGGGTTTTGTTACATATACAAATACAATTAACCAACAAAGTCCCCACCACCTATTCCAGCTGCCTTCTGATTGAAAGGGAATGGGAATTGTTTGAAGAATCTCTTCCTCAAAGCCCTCAAGATGGAACTTAAAATGGCACCCCCAGAAGTGACGTTTTCTTGGTTCCCCCACTGCTGTCTGCAGAGCCCACAAAGACACAAGGCTCACCATGTCGGCCATGCCGGGCCCCAGGCGGTCACACTGCTCCCTGGCATGTTCCACCAAGGCCTCAACGAAGGTGGAGTTGGTCCGCACGGCATTCTGGATGTCAGTCACCAGCTGAATGCAGTCCTGGCAAACATCCCCGCCAGCCTGCAGAGACAGGGACAGGTAGGCTGTAAACACCGAGTATTCCTATATTAACTAAGAGGATTCAAATTCCTAGGAAAACTTCCTCTCACGCTCACGACTGCAGCATGGTGCGTGGCTTCCTGAACAGTCCATAATGTGTCTTTACAGGCTCTGAAACCACTGACAGTTTAAAAATCAATTTGACATTGATTTTAGTAAAACTTAAAGGAGGGAGGGTAATCTTGGCGTGTTTAAAAAAACTCCAGTTTTAAAATTTAGTTTAGTTTAAATATCCAGGTTCTTTAGAAACTCCAGGACACAGCCATCTGAAGGCCAGCCGGTGTAGACGCCCCAGTTTAAGAACCGCGCGCACACTGCTGCTTTCAGGTCTCCTCCCTAATCCAACAAAAACGGAGCCCAGCGGCGAGGCCCACTGTCTTACCTTCGGCTGGGGCTCTGTGTGGGAGCCGTCCTGCGGATAGAGGAGGAGCGGGATGTTGGCCATGAAGGGAGACACCACCTCAGCCATGTCCAGTTCTGGGATCTTATTGGACTCGAGCTGTTTCTGGTGATTGAGCTCTGCCAGGTGCTTCTGAAGAGACTCGCAGAGATTGAGGGCAGAGCACACCTCAGCGGGGTTGCTCTGATGGGGAAAAAAAGAAGTCCAGCTGGAAATCCTCTCCCCAGAGGAAAACAAAACAGGCCACCTGGTGCCTTTGAATTAGTTCCCTTCCTAATCTCTTAGCCTGACTCATGCAAGCATACCCAGTTCACAGGCATCTCAAACTAAACCCCCCAACCCACTCCCCTTCCATCTCTATTTTAGCAATGGCCTAAGCACCATTCTCTGGGCAGTTCAAGCCAGAAGCCTGGAAGACATCCCCTCCATCAACAAGTCTAGTCCACTTACCCTCTAAAACAATATGTGCCCTGGCAGGTGTGGCTCAGTGGACTGGGGGCCAGCCTGCGAACCAAAGGGTGTCTGGCTCAATTCCCAGTGAGGGCACATGCCTGGGTTGTGGGCCAGGCCCCCAGTTAGGGGTGTACAAGAGGCAACTGATTGATGTTTCTCTCATACATCTGTTTCTCTTTCTCTCTCCCTTCCTCTCTCTCTAAAAGTAAATAAAATCTTCTTAAAGATTTATTTATTTTTAAAGAGAAAGGAAGAGAGGGAGAAAAAGAGAGAGAGAAACATCAGTGTGTGGTTGCCTCTCATGCACCCCCTACTGGGGACCTGGCCCAGAACCCAGGCATGTGCCCTGATTGGGAATCAAACCGGCGATCCTTTGCTTCGCAGCACAGTGCTCAATCCACTGAGCCACACCAACCAAGGCTAAATAAAATCTTTAAAAAAATAAAAAATAAAAAAGGAATATGCATCTGTCCATCTCCACTGCCCCCAGTACATCTGATGCCTGACTGTTCTGCCAGCTTCCCTTCTTCCAACTCCCAATATGTGGGTCCTTGCCCAAACCCTCTCAAAAAGGTGCCCATGATCATGGTACTCCTCTCCCTGGAACCCCACAAGGACTTCCTGTTATACCTACAGCCCTTCACCATGGCCCAAAAGGCCTGGCATGATGTAACACCACATTCCTTACCAAAACCTTGGCCCAGTCTTTGGAAAGTGGCCCTCTTAGGTTTTTAAGTACCTCTTCTTTCTTAGGGTCTTTCCAAATTCCACAAACCTGGCTCCTTGCTCACTGATAAAAAAAACCCACCTCTGGTATGTGGTTTACACACAACAGATACTTTCTGAATGAAAGATGAGCATCCTTTTAGCTGAATCCACAAGTATATTCCCTGACTTGTTAGGATAAAAAAAATCACAGAAATGAAATGAATTACTTGCTCAAAGGACAGTTAAAAATCCCACAGGAGTTACCAAATCGGCACCAATATACATTATGCCAGTTTACATTCCTGCAGTAATTCTTAAGTTCCTGTTTCTTGTATCCTCTCCAACCCTTGAAAGTTGCAGGTAGAGTGTTCTGCATGCCAGAGCCATTCTGGCTGTTAGAACTGTAGTAAAGAGCTATAGAGAAAACCCAAGTGTATGAATGGACTTTCCATTTTAACCACTCTACTCTGGTCTGGTACTTCCCCTGGATCCCAGAAGCACCTTGAAGGAAGACCTATTCACCATCACGTACCATCTGTCCTTTAATCATGTCCAAAATGACTGGGAGATAGGAGTCCACAATCTCCTTGCATGAGGCAGACATGTCCGGCTTAGGAAGCCAGTCACAGGTCTTCTCCAAGTACATGAGGATCTCTTGCTGGAGAAAACACAAGCAAGGGACAGATCAGGATGCACTTCTCTACAAATGGGCTGGAAGGAACAGACCCCCTTACAGCTCCTCCCAGGAAAGTGAAGGCTGGAAAATAGCAACCCTCAGGGAAGAGGACCTAGGGGAGGGTGAGTGGGTGCTGTCAGATCAATGGGGCAAAAAGCAGATCCTCTGACCTGCAGCCTCACAGGCACAGGGAATTCTGAGTGAGTAGCAATAGCCACATGCACCCAAAGGCTAACTGCATGCAATACAAAATCACAATCAACCTTGGGCGTTAAAACTCATGGAGGAACCGGGGAAGCAAACTAGGGCCCACAGCCTGTCTCTCTATAGCTTGTGGCTAAGAATGGTTTTTACATTTTTAAAGATGGGGCAGCAAAAAATGGGACAGAAACAGTTATGTGGCCCACATGACCTAATTATATGCTACCTGGGCCTAGACCATTCCTTGTAGACGCCCCTGACCCCCAAGTCACAGGCTTTAAGCAATGAACGCATGTGGCTACATGGCCACCACTCACACACAGTCGCACACACCTGTGGTGGCTTACCTCAGTGGCATTGTCTTTCAGCATGTTGTCGGCTGCGGTGATGACGTCTTTACATATGTCGCAGGGAAGGGATTTCTAAGAGGAAAGAACATGGGAGAGAGGAATCTACTTGGAGGGCAGAGCTCACACCACACATAGGTGGAAACACCCTTGGCCCTTTTCCCATTTTACCCGAACGACATGATCATGGCCACATCTGACCAGACACATCCTGGTTCCCCAGATGAAACAAGAAGCATTCAGACGCCACAGAGGAAGGATTAGGTGGGATGGACTGGAATGCTCTGTTTTTACTGGAGAGACAGACTTTTCTTGTACCCTCTACCCCTGAGCACCTTACTTAGTGCACACAGTACCAGGCAAATTTCATATTCACAACAGCTCTGTGACGAAACAGGCTCCAAAAGGTGAAAATCGGAGCAGCAGATCACCGGGGACCAATATCACTATTCACCATCGCAGAGTTAAAGGGGGCGGGGCAGGGAAACCAGCCAGCCAGCCAGACACTGGTGCTTCTGCGCCCTCACGCTGGCACTGTTTCCTGCATTCTGTCTACCCTCCAATTCCTGGTCAGTGGTGTGTTCAAGCGGAAGCCACATGTCACCGCTCCAGAGCTTCGAGACATGACATCAGTCTTCTGACAAGCTGAGGTACCCAGGGCCATGGAAAATCTAGTCAGTTCTCTAAGTTCTTGGGGAGCTCCCTTCTTGATATGAACTGATTTTTGACCCATAAAGAAGGAACTAACATGTCTGGGTATGATTAAGGAACACCTGTGAACTTGGCTGCATTCAGAGAAACCAATCTGAACTTTGCCAGGCTAATAACGTGTGTGGGGCCAACTAAGAGAGATTCAGGCATCATTCATGAAACTATCCTATCAAAAGAGAAAGATCTAAAGTCCTTGCTTGACATGCATTAAACTTGGAACAAGGAAGCAGTATTAAAAACAAGATCAAGAGCAAATTAGAGACCAAATCTAGAGGTAACTGTGGCCACAGAGGACAGTGTTCCAGGGAATTCAGAAAATATTTCTTAAAGAGCAATGTTATTTCATTCATAATTCTTCTCTTACTGAGTTCTACTAGCCAATGACAAGTTTTAGAATCTCAGCTCCACTCAGTCAAACCGGGCCTGTACCACAGGATGTAGCACATCCCAGAGTAAGCAAAGAGCCAAGCTCGGGCGTCTCGTGATGGGGTTTAGGTTCCATGAAGAATGCACCTGAGGTCTGTCATCTTACAGTATTGAGAGTTAAGAGTCCCACATTAATATGCTATATTTAACACTGTTTATATGAAAAAAAAAAATCAGTGGCATCCAGTGTGATTAAAGCTGGAAATAAAATTATAAATATCTACTAAAGCTCAAGGGTCTGAATTAGTGACCCAAACAGGCAGCTGAGAGAGGCAGAGAAAGAAAACATCAAAAAGGGGAAAGGACCTGAAAAGCTCAGCATCTACTTTTTGAGTGAGTGACCAAGGATGAAGGCAATCCTCGTGTGCCCAGCAGTTCGGGGAATGAGAGCTGTGAACCTGCTGGCCCCTCGTCTGGCCTGGAGAGCTGGGATGCGCACAGAGGGCAGCACAGAACACAGCATGGGCAAGGGAGGAACTCATCCTATCTCTGTCACCTTAACCTCTCCAGCCTCCAGTCTCTCTATGGTAAAATGGGTACACCCCCCAACAGGTGGTCCTGACTCCCTCACATGGGCACCATGAAAAGCAAACAAAATGAAGCAAAAGAAAGTGCTCTGTAAATGGCAGTAGGTACAGATGTATAAAGGGGTGTAGTACAGAACTAAGGGCACTCACCACTGTCGGCTTGTTCCAGACGGTCTGCAGGCAATGCTTCACAGCCCCGCAGTCGGCTGCTGTCTTCACATTCTGGCACCACACTGCTGAGCCTCTGGTGCATTCTCTCAGGCCTAGGACAGGGCTGGCGACAGCTGGGAAGAAAACCATTGTGAGGAGGTGGCTGACTTCCCACGCCAGGTCCCCCTCACTTGCTTACCCAGGACTGGCCACAAGCCCTGGCATTCAGCTGCACACTCTAGCTGGGCCCTCACCCACTTATACAAGAGGCAATCCAGAGGCACCGCATCCAGACAAGACGCTGTTGTCATAAAAGTCACAGGGCTGGAAGGGACTAGTTTATCTGGCTCATTTTTTTCCTCTTAAACTATTGATATTTTTAAACCATATTAGGGAATATCAGACCATTTAATCTCTATAACCTTGAAAAAATTCCAAATGCCACGATGTAATGAAAGAAATCACGGGAGACTGACTTTTAAATATAGATTTTTAACTCCTGTTGCATGAAAATTAGTCAGTTTTTTAAAATCCATAGGGAAAACAATAAGATTCATATCCTTATTACACTGAAAAACAATTCTTAATGTTCTAATGAACAGCTCTTTACAGACCTAATCATGTGAGCTTTTGCACATAAACAAGTTCATTAGCAAAGAAGCAAGACCACAGAGCACAAGTGTCCACTCAAAACCAGGTGCACGGCATTTCATCTACTGTGGTTAATGAGAAAAGGACTTGGGCACAAAGCCCAAGAAATGCACAGAAATGGAATCAGGAAAAAACCAGAAAGTTTCAACATCACCTTCTGAAGGCTAAAGAAATGCAGTTTAAGGAGGTGTCGTATTTTAATAGTTAAATTAGCCAAAAGGAAAAAGGAAAACACAAGCCTTTGTTACTGAAGAGCAACAAGTTTTAGTAAAAGATGCATTCTTATGACACTGATAGCAGTGTTTACTATTTCTTAATATATTGCTGTATTTCAAGAAATGAAACGATATCCCTCTTCAAAAAGTAATCTACTTCTAGAAATATGTTTTAAGGAAATTGAGAAATTCAAAAGGTAAAATATGATATGCACATATACATTAAGAGTAATTCACAATACTAAAAAATGTAGATACAACTTTTTGAATAGACAAAAACAGAGAAGCTAATGATATTCTTATTAAATTATGCAGCTGTTCAATATCAAGATAAGGTATAATAGAAAAATTCAAGAATGTGAAACTGAATTATACAAAAATCAGAAAAGAACAACAAAGTAGGGTGGTTAGCTGAATTATAATTTAACTCCCAATGTTACGTTGTGTGTGTACAATTTTTTAAAAATATTTCATAAACTACCTTAAGAGTTCTTATTGTTTCTTAAAAAAGGTCTATGTTATCCTTGATTTTGAAACTGAAAAATGGGAAAACCCTCACTAGGAAACAAGAGGCCACATGAGGCTCCGTGCAGATGGTGAAGCAGACTCCGGCAGAGAGCACCTGTGGTTTCTTGTCAGAGATGAAACCCCTGCCCCCCGGCACCTAAAAAATGGATTTAGAACCTCAGGAGTCACATTGCATGCTGTTTCAGCTTGTAAACCGAGAGAGGACACAGTGATTCTACAGACATGTGACACGTATGCACGCGTGCACACAGTATACATCACAGATTAGTTCAGTAGGGGCTCTCCTTTCAGAAGAGGAAGGAAATGAAATGCTATCGTTACTAGCTGTTCAACCAAAGCTATAGTTCCAAACTATCCATGCAAAGACTGAGTCACAGGTCCCCAAAAAAGCTGAAGCCAGATTATCTACACCCTTTCAGAGACCAGCAAATGCACTACTTGCTGCCCGTTTACAGCTTTCTCTGCCCCTTGGGGGACGAAATCCCACCACAACTGGTTCAAGAACCCAAATGAACTGGCCACATTCCAAGCTGTTGGTTTGAACTTTGGTTTCCACGGGAAAACGTGCAAGACTCAAAACAGTGCCAAGATGGGCCAGGAAAGCTTAGTTAACCAGCAATTCAACCAAGCTCGCCTGGGGAGGGCCCTCAGCTGCAGGCCTGAGGAGCTGGGGAGGAGCAGAAATTGAAGTCACAGAGTAAGTGCTCCAGGGAGTGTAAGGGTCACGGAGACATCACCAATGGGAGCACCGGCACCTGCCATGCTGCTCCTAGGCACTGGGTCCCCAGGACTCCCAAAAAGCACTCACTAAGCTACACTGCCTGGTTCTAGCTCCAATTAGGAGGAAGGAGCCCCACTAATGAATAGGAAGCTACAAAATGAGTCTTTAGGCAAAGGAACATACAGTGATACACACAGGGAGCCAGAAAGAGGACGATGTCAACAGACAGAAGTAGGGCCCAAGAGCAGTCCTCTCTGCACGAGGTCTGACCAGCACGCTCCATTCTTATAAATAGCCAAGTAGAACTCCAATCCAAGGATTTTCTCCAACCATCCCAGCCAAGAACTGGCTACAAATGACCAAAATCTATTGGGTTCAGGGAACAGAAGGCATCATCACAGGCCCAAGCAGCAAAAATACTTTGTAGCTTGTTTACTGCTTCTAGGAACTTGGAATAGTAATCATTTGCAGTAATGACTCTGTTATTTGTTTTGGCCAGGCTATTTTGGACTAAAATCACCTGGGTAGCACCTCCTACCTGAGACTGGCCCAGCTAACAAACCCCAAGTCATTTCCCAGTCCCAACAGCATTTTGCAAGGCAAGCCCTCCACCTCAGAACTAAAGACATGCACGGTAGCCAATCTGGTAGATCTATAAAGTCATCAAAGTCAAGCCTAAAGCAGATTTCATGGACATGAGAAATGAAACTGAAATCCCAGCTCCTGGAAGTTCAGTTCTTAGCAAGACATCCCCATTTACCTCCAATCCCAAGCCAAATGTATACAGTTACATATTACAAAAATGGTCTGTGGTGTGCAGCGAATGCGATTTCCTAAGATGAAGCAATGCATATTGGCAGAGAAATAACTGCATGTCCTCAGGATCGGTCACGCGCGGCTGAAACACATGCCTGGGTGACACAAGCTTGCGTGACACCAGTGAACTACCTGCTGAGAGGTTCAGGTGCTTATCTTGGGAGCTGATCTCCTGAGAGGAAAACAAACAATGGGTCAGAATATGTGGGGACATGAATCCAGTCCCCAGGACATGTATTTATACACAAAATCCTCACACTACTTCAGGGGGCCCTCAGGCACCACAACATCTGTCCAGGGACCCCAGCTGAGCACTGAAGGCTTTAGAGGCAAGCATGGCTTTTCTCCACAGAAGCAGGAAAACTACTGAGATGAAGGCAGGATTACCAATGCCACTCTGCCACTGACCCCTCAGGCAGGGGACCAATGTGAACAGACATGGGCTCTCTTACCCCACAGAGAGGGACAGACACAAGAGACACCAAAGTAAACTAGAAACGCAGGTAGCCACATGCACAGAGCAGCAAAGAAAATGACTAAATGCCTACGGGGAAGCTACAGGTGGCTTCTTCACAATGAATTTCAACTGGCACCTACAAGACAGGAGATCTCAAAGGCTGGCTAAGTGGAGAGGGCATAGGAGAAATTCCTGAACATTCCAAGGCAGAGCAATTTTATCAGAGGGGAAGAAATCCCCTGTCTTTTCAGGACTGGAGCAAAGGGAAGTGGCAGGGGCCAGGCTACAAAGACAGACCTCAGGCACACTGGGCTAGACCTCATCTAGCACACTCACTCCCATGTGATGAGTTCATCCTGTGGGCAACAGCTCATGTGAGCATCTTCACCACCCAGGCACGATGGGGCAAAAGGCGTGAAAAGGAGGCGGGAGATTCAGATGACGGGGCTCCGAAACGGGAATGGGGAGCTCATTCCAGAATGTCCAAGGCAAGAAGTAGTGGCATCATCAAGGGCTGAGAGCGAGGCTAACGGAAAAATTCCAAAAGAACACTAAAGCCAGGAAAATGAAACTCGACAGGGTTGAACTGAAACATGAAGTCTCCTAAGCCAGCAATTTTCAACTGGTGTGTCACAACAATTTTTAAAACATGCAACACCTGACTATTTAGTCAGGGGGCACTGAGCTCTTTTCCCTTAGATTGTCATATTTTTAAAAATACACAGGCAACACAGTTAGTCATCTGGTGTAAATGCCCTGTCTTGAACCATAAATATAAATAGAGTTGAATCTTATTGGTCATGTCATATGATAAGATTGCATCTGATTGGTTAATTCTTGGTACCAGAAATACTTATATACAAGTATAGGCACCTGATTTTTTTTTTAAATCACTTTGGAAGCAAAAAGGGTTCGTAATTACTTTTTTTTTTTTTGCAAATCAATAAAAACTATACCTATTTTTTTGTCATATCGGCAAAAAATATATTTTTTGGCGTGCTGAATTTTAGTTATTAGTTTATGACTGCCAAGAGATTAAAAAGGTTGAAATTCACTGTCTTGGGCTAAAAGAGAAGAGGAAAGAAACAGCAAAAGCCAAGAAAACCAGGATTGAAGTGGTGGTCAGAAGCTGTGCTGCTCAAGCCAACAGAGTGGAGGGCAGGGCACAGGCCACAGGAAAGGCAGAACACCCCTGCTCTCTCTGCTTCCTGTAACGGTGACAAGTACAGCAGGTTGGGAAGGTGAAGACATAGGACCTCATTCCTGAGTTGCCTAGAAGACTGGAAATGTTTAGCTGGGAGAGAGCATGTTTGGAGCTACACTCATCTTAATAGGTAAAGGACACGTTCTGCTTATCACATGAGCGGTTCTGTTCTGTGTGGTCTCAAACCCCAGACCCTCAGAGCAAGGAATGATCAGAGGTTAAGAAGCAGACCATGGCTTAAAGTACGGAATGTATTTATGATCCTCAGAAATAGAAAAAGGGAATGGCTTCCCTCATTAAGTGATGAGCTCTCAAACAGCAGAAGTAACCAAGCAAAACAAAATGCCCAACCTATGAGGAATTCTGTGTAAGAATTCTAAGGCGTGAGAGGGACCAGACGACCGCTTTCAGGCTGGAAGTCCTAATTCTCACAACAGCGAAGCAAAGGACATTTTCAGTACTAATACACAACCAATATATAAAAATTATCCTAAATCACTTCCTGATGAGAGTCATTCCTCAAATCATATTCCTAGCAAAGC